GCCTGCTGTGTTCATCCAGCTCTACACCTTGTTATCTCAATCTTTAGAACATCCCTCAGTTACACCCCATTCTTCTAATACTGCCACCTACAGGAGCACAGGTGTCAGCTATTCAATAAACACAAGCTTTCTTTCCTCCCTGGGGAATTTTCTGTATGGGGAGTTCTCAATTTACAAATGGCCAACATATGAACATTTCCTGTCCTTGCCAACGGATTTGGAATGATATTATCATAGCATTTACAGCACATCAACGGACTATTCATTCCGACAGGTCAATGCTCATCTTTACCCAGCACTTGTGCCTCCTCCCATCCCTGTTCAGCAAACACCACGAGAATCTCTATCCATTCCTTTTCCATCACATTTTAACCAGCATCGCCCTGAATACATCTACACTATTCATCTCAGTCCTTGTGGCAGGTTGTTCTGTTAAATTCCTAGTCCTAAAGAAAGGGCAAGGACTGTTTATTAAATACATTTGTCATGATGCACAATTAAATAAAGTGCCCTGATTTTGGCAAGTTAAGATTGTTAATGCCATATCTGTGATTTTCTTGTTTGCAGCTTGACAGATGTACCTATTAGGAGGTGTGACTCAGTCCCTCTCACCTGTTCAAAAGCAGGTCACCTCAGACACTTGCCTCTCTTTTCACCAGTGGCAGTTGTTGGGGTGGAGAACAGATTAAAGACAGCATGTAAACACACACACACTCCACACCACCCTTGCTTGTGCTGCACTACTGCACAGTCACTGGTAAGGGCTGAATAACATTGATAAGACTAAGCTTGGACTGCTGGAGTTGGCAATCAGTTTTATTTTGTTGGGCTGGAGGATGATGATCATGATGATGGTGGCGGGGATTGGGATTTTGGGACATTTCACAGCTTCTTTCTGTTAATGATTTCCCACTCCTTAAGAATGCAAAAATAATTGATCCACATCAACTGAATTGGAAATATCAATTTTTAAAGAGAGTGGTTTCTCTTGAAGAGGGAAAGAAGGAATTCTGAGTTGGATAGTTCTTTGATAGGCGAAGGAGTCAGGGGCCATGGGATGGGGAGGGGGCAGATAGGAGAGTAGAATTGAGGCCATATCCAAATCAGTCATGATCATACTGGAAGGCTGAGCAGGCTTAAAGGGCCAAATGGCCTCCCATCCTACTCCTGTGTTCCTAGCGACTGGAGTCCTTCTGCGAAGTGAGACTCATTGATAGACCCCAACTACTCCAGGTTTTAAACACAGACATTCAAAAAGGGTAGCTATGCATCCAGCAAGATAGACAAATAGGGAGACAATTACCTGTGATACTGTGTTGTTTTTGATCTGCCATATTTTCTTGGCTTCACCTTTCTCCTTTTTGTTCAGCAGGTCAGGACTAGGTGTCACTCCTGAATTCCGCGTGTCGATCAGCTTTGTAACCAGTGCCCACAGGCGGACTTGCCATCTCAGTACTCCAGGAATGGCATCCGCTGGATTAAAAAAGGAAAGGCTTTCTTCTTCAGTTAATTCTTTCACAGGATGTGGATCTTGCTGGCGAGGCCAACATTTGTTGCCCAAACCCCCTAACTGCCCTTGAACAGAGCGACTCCTCACCTCACTTTGATTTGGAGTGTTTTTTTTTGGGGGTGGGTCAATTTTGTGCACTTGAACTGAAGGACGTTAACATGCAGGTATAGAACACTTGCCCAATTCAGACTTTAGTGTCAATAAAGGATCCCACCATCATACACAGCATGGGCATCTGCAGAAAGAAGCCTTTGCTACTGTGCTCCAGAAATATGCTTTTACCAGACTTGGTCAACATCCCAGTGCAACATATTCAGCTTTCAACATGAGCCAATCCACCAGGGACGATTGGAGATTTTGCGTTAATTGTGGAGTGCTTTATCTAATGAGCATTTTTAACTCATTTGCGACTGTCTTAACTTATATTACATTGAAACCTACCATCAAGCAGACAGAAGACATTTTGACTTGATTACTCAGTGACAGCTTGTAATCCAAGTGTTAACGTTGAAAGGGGGGTGAGCCTGAAGTACACACTTCTTAAAGAATGTATTTTAATCTCTTTTTCTAAGAACGCAATGAATTCCAATCAAACCCAACAACTTGCTTTCATACTATAGGGTGGAAGTTTATTTAAAAATCTGCCATCTCGTTCTCTGCCCTAAGGGGACATCATCTTGATTGACTGGTCAAAGTCCTGGAAAATTATTGTGGGTGTTCCTACACCCTGATGGCAGCAGCTGTTTAAGACAGGAGCTCACCACCACCTTTTCCAGGGATATTAGGGATGGAGAATAAACACTGGCCCAGCCAGAGGTACCCACATTCCCTGAGCTAGGACCCAGTGCTGAGGGAGGGGGTACATCATGGTTTAATAATGGGATCTGACAATCCCCGCTATGCTGGGACCAGGGGCACGGTGGACCAGAAGTGGCACTGGTGCCTGTCAGTTTAACTCCAGCCCCTGACATAAGAGAATATTAAAAGAAAAACAAAATCAGTCATCACTTCACTCAGGGAGAATAGCCAATTCTGAGGTGGTAGTGATGTTGTGTTAGACCCTGTCAGCGTCACTTTTTGCCATCGTCCTCAGACGACAACAACTCGGTTTTGTATCTGAGGTAAGCACGGAGCACAGCCGCCTATCAAAAATCCTGACTTCAATTCAAATCACCCCATTAAAAGGCCAACCCACTACTGTTATCACCACCACTGCAAACAACGATAAAATAACTAAGCAGAAGAATAGGATTAGAAGGAAAGGGAAAGAGGAATGAAAAAGTATTCGTTTCCTCAACTCGGTCTGTTTGAGCCCAGGAATGATCTCCTATGTTGTCATAATGACTCTGCGACTATGGTTTTTTATTTGATGAGTCGGTTGGCCAGCTGGTTTGCTATGCAGAGTGATGATAACAGTGTGGGTTCAGTTCCTACAATGGCTGAGGCTACCGTGAAGGACTCGCCTTCAGAAACTCTCCCCTCACCTGAGGCCCAATGATTTCTCAGGTTAACCAAACACCCGTCACTTTTCCCTAAAGATCACTTTTCCCTACGGTCCAGTCGGACTATGGTGACTTTTAGATCTGGCTTTGTTGAAAAGGTGCTACTGTGCAAAATATTGTTGCTAGAGGGCATCAGTCTCTTACTTTTAATGTCCCACAGAATATCCTGCTGTGGGGGTGCTGCATACAGGATGTACAGGCGCACAGTGTCAATCCCGTACTTCTGGATCATCTCTGCTGGATCGATGCCATTGTGTTTGGATTTGCTCATTTTTTCCCAAGTGATTTCCAGTTTTTCGGAAGTGCCAGCGTGGAGAGGGTCAGGACCTGGAGTGGAAAGGAATAAACAACAGCAAAAGAAAAGTCAATAAATTTACTTGTATGACAGTGAAGCTCTAACTGTTAGCTTTCAGCTGCCCAAAACAATGCCAACTTCATGATAGTAAAACAGATCTAATCCATTCACTGGGAAGAAGAATTAACCCTGGCACAGGGGACATTTGTTCCTGATCATCTGAACTGGAGTCAAATTACTTACAGAAAACTTGCATACAAAAAGCGAAGAATGTTCTAATTTTTGTTTTAAAGTATCAAAAACTTACAATTGCCACTGTTCAAAACATGTGATATAACTGGCTGGGGAATCTAAAACATAGGAATGGCCTGAGAATTAAAGGGGTCAGACATTTAAGACTGAATAAGAAGATATTTCTTCACTCAAAGGTGGAAAGATCTTCACTCTCTAAGCATTTGAGGGATCACTGACTGGTGGTACAGATTTAAAGTAAGGGCCAGAAGGTAGAATGTAAGGAAATGTTTTCACCCAGTGGGAACCTGGAACTCACTGCCTGTTAAGGATGGTAGAGGCAGAAACCCTCATAACACTTAGGAAGTATTTAGATGTGCATTTGTGATGCCAAGGGATACAAGGCTATGGGATTAGAACAGTTAGGTGGCTGTTTTTGACCAGCACAGATTCAAAGGGCCAAAGGGTCTTTTTCAGTGCTGACGATCTCCACGACTCAAAGATCGTGAATCTTTGGAATTCTCTGACTCAGAGAGATGCTCAGTTATTAATCAAATACACAAAAGGTTGATAGAATTTTTTTCCCCCCCTTTGGCAGTAAGAGAATTAAGGGCATGAGGAAAGTGCAGGGAAGTGAAAGAAGATTAAGGATGATCCTGTTGAATGCTGGATTGGGCTGAAAGGGACAAATGGCCTTACTCAATTCCTGTTTTTTATCTTAATGTACATGTGTTAATTTGCTTCTATTCAAATAAGGAAATTGGGAATCAGAGTCTGACATTTGACAAAGTCCTGGGAACAGGCTGCCTCTTGATTTGAAACATCTGCAAATAACAAAATAAAACTGGTCTGAAAAACCCAAAGACCCAATCCAAGAACAGAAGACCAGGGTACACGGCCAGGCCAATGCATTCTGGGAACTCAGAAAAAATAACCTGCACCCCTCAATCTATTACTGTCCTATCACACACTGTGCACTAATGATGGCTGACCAGATTTTGGTCACAGCTCCACTTCCCTGCCTATACACCACCACCAATATCCTTAGACCCCCTTCAAGTATTTATCAACCGTCTCTTAAAATATTCAATAAGAGCGAACTATAAGGTAAATGGAAAGCTCTGGGGAATATTGATGCACAGAGAAATCTGGGTGTTCAGGTCCATGGTACCCTGAAGGTGGCAACGCAGGTCGATAGAGTGGTCAAGGCAGCATACGGCATGCTTTCATTCATCGGACGGGGTATTGAGTACAAGGGTTGGCAGGTCACGTTCCAGTTGTATAGGACTTTGGTTCAACCACATTTGGAATACTGCGTACAGTTCTGGTTGCCACATTACCAAAAGGATGTGGATGCTTTGGACAGGGTGCAGAGGAGGTTCACCAGGATGTTGAATGGTATGGAGGGCACTAGCTATGAAAAGAGGTTGAGTAGATTAGGATTATTTACATTAGAAACACAGATGTTGAGGGGGGACCTGATTGAGGTCTACAAAATCAGGAGAGGTATAGACAGGGTGGATAGCAAGAAGCTTTTTCACCCAGAGTGGGGGACTCAATTACTAGGGGTCACGATTTCAAGGTGAGGAGGGATAAGTTTAAGGGAGATATGCATGGAAAGTTCTTTACGCAGAGCGTGGTGGGTGCCTGGAACGCGTTGCCAGCAGAGGTGGTAGAGGCGGGCAAAATAGCGTCATTTAAGATGTATCTAGACAGATACATGAATGAGCAGGGAGCAGAGGGATACAGATCCTTGGAAAATAGGCGACAGGTTTAGATAGAGGATCTGGATCGGCGCAGGCTTGGAGGGCCGAAGGGCCTGTTCCTGTGCTGTAATTTTCTTTGGTCTTTGTTCAGCCTCGATTGCTCTCTAGGGAAGAGAGCTTATGACCCTCTGGGAAGATATTTGTCCACATCAGAGTGCTAAATTGAGAGATCCCTCATTTTTAAACTGTGGCCCGAACTTCACGAATGAATTTCTCTTGGTTTATTCCATTTGATCTTCTTTCTTTTGCTTAATAAACTTGGTTCTATTGTTAAAACCAGATTTGCAGCTTACTCTTTCATGGGATGTGATTATCTCTGGCTAGGCCAGCATTTATAGCTCATCCCTAATTTCCCAGAGAGCAGTTATAAATCAACTGACAGGTAAGGGTGGCAGATTTCCTTTCTCAAGAAGGACGTTAGAGAACCAGACAGAAAAATAACAAAAAAAACCTATCAATCCAGATTTCAGTCTAGATTCTGACTGGTCCAATAAGAACATTGACTGGAATCATTAATCCATACATGTAATGGTCACTGACATCCTTCCTTATTCACTTCTCAAGTAATTCCAGTGGTCACTTACCATCAAAATTTATTTCCTCTTTCTTTAGATATTGGCCATTTGATGGTAAACGAAAAGTTTTCCCCTTGATAAGTCCTTGCACGAGGAGTTTGTGAAAAGGTTCCCTGTACAAAAGCACAGAATATGCAAAGCAAATTTAAAATGATCAAATCATGACCGGAAATTATTTTTATTGAATCATCACAGCAACGTCTGAAAGAGAAGGAGACACCAAAACAGAATCAATGATCCTGGCTGGGAGAAGCCGGCTTGGGAATGAACGCAAAGGTAAACTTTTGTAACACTGGGATCGCAAAGAAAGATCGGAATCAGAACAAATTAAATTCAATGGAATGAAAGAACAGAATCAAAGGACAATTTCAGCACAGAGAAGGCTATTCAGCCCGCCATGTTCACCTTGACCTTCTGCAACTGCAAATTAGCTAGCCCCACTTCCCTAAATTTCCTCAGTAGCTCTGCAAACTTCTTTTATTCAGATAATTATTCAATTCTCCTTTGAAAGCCTTGATTGAATTTGCCTCCATCTTAGGGGAGGCGATGGCCTTGTGGTATTATCACTGGACTCTTAATCCAGAGACCCAGATAATGTTCTGGGATCCCGGGTTCGAATTCCGCCACGGCAGATGGTGGAATTTAAATTCAATAAATATCTGGAATTAAGAATCTAATGATGACCATGAATCCATTGTCAATTGTCGGAAAAACCCTTTAGGGAAGGAAACTATCATCCTTACATGTGACTCCAGACCTACAACAATGTGGTTGACTCTGAACTGCCCTCTGGGCAATTAGGGATTGGCAATAAATGCTTACTGGCCAGCGATGCCCTCATCCCAGGAATGAATAAAGAAAAATCTCCAGATCCTAATTATTCATATCGTAAAAAGTTTCTCCTTCTGGTTCTTTGGCAAATTATCTTAAATTCTGGGTCCCACTCCCAATAGGAAGAGTTGCTCCCCATCTACTCTGTCCAGAGCCCTCATGATTTCCAAGAGTGGCAAAGAGTTTGTTTCCTCTCCACGCGCCCCGAGGCACTTCTCTTTCCAGTGCATCCACCAGCATCGAAACTCTCCATGAGCCAATTTATTTTTCTTGGCCATGTCAGGGACAGGAACATTTTCCTTTCAGCATGGAAATAAGGAATTAATTATTCTGAACCATTTGTGGGTAGCACAGTCCGAATACACACCAATACAGGAAAGGATCGGCAGGTAACATGACTTGCTGTTTAGAAAAGATCACGTGTCCGAAAGAATAGCGATAACAATCACCAATTCAAATGAATTCATTATCTTCACTTAGAAGATATGTCAGATAGTGCAGAACGTTATAGGTGATGCTCATAGATGGAACTTGGTTCTTCCAGGATTTTCTCTGGGTAAATCTGTAGTCTCAACCTCCTCTTCTAATACTAGTCCATGGGGCTTAGAGTCATACAGCATGGAAACAGACCCTTCAGTCCAACCAGTCCATGCTGACCGTAATCCCAAACTAAACTAGTCCCACCTGCCTGAGCTTGGTCCAAATGCCTCCAAGCCTTTCTTATTCATGTACTTATCTAAATGTGTTGAACACTGTTTCGAAATAAGGGGTCTTCCTTTTCAGATTGAGATAATGAAGAAAGTCTTCTCTCAGAAGCTCATTCATTTTTAGAATTCTCTACTCCCAAGAGCAGTGGGGTCTGGCTTATTGAATATATATAATCAAACTGAGGTCGACCGAATTCTGACAGACAAAGAAGTCAAGGTTCATGCGGTCATGTAAAGCAATGTGGAGTTGGGGGCCACATTTAGATCAGCCATGATCTTATTGATGGGGGAAGCAGGCTCAAAAGGGCCAAATGGCCTAGTCCTGCTCCTATTTCATATGACTGTGACCTTACAAGTGGAGGGTCTTCTGAATCAGAGGCACAAATACCTTTACTAGGTGCCCCCTTCATTTTTACTGTGCTGTGGAGAACAACTATCACTGCCCTTTTCCCTTCCCACAGATTGAGAGCTTTAATGCAGTGAGGTGACTAACCTGCTGAACACAAGCTAGAAACTCATCACCCAACTCATACACAGAAGCTCAAGCAGGAGGCGTGGAACAGACTTTGAAAAACAAAGTGCTTCATAAAATTCATTTCAGATACATTGTCATGACAAGGCACGACAGCAAGTTGAACTTTATAATCAAATGCAAACCTATCCAGCAGGTAATCATCACTCAACTGGTCCCATTGTTAATACTTCTTTTGTCAGTTTATATAATTTAAAGTCAAAAACCCGGCAAATATATCCATCTTAGTCAGAGGAAATATTCACACTCAGGTCATTTTCTGATGTAAATCAGTGTAGAGTTCATGATATCGCAATGACAAACTTCTCCCACTGGAGGACACTTCAGTATGTGTATAGCTCACTTTCACCTCCTGGGGGCAGGTAGCTAGAACTGTAGCTGGTGCTGTCCTGAGTGGGCAATCATGCATTTTGTCTACATTATCCGACTGTAGAGCCCTCAACAAAATAAATGATCCATTCACACTTTTGTGCATTAAATAAAACTCATGAAGGTCAGGTCAAATTAGCCTGCATTACAACAGGTTTACTACAAGACTGTGCAAAATTGTGTCACAACCATGGTAAAACACATCTTCTGTTACATTGATAGTAGGATCTCTCTCTATTTATTTCAGAATCCCCTTCCCCTCCCCCATTTCTGAAGAAGGGTCCAGACCCGAAACGTCAGCTTTCCTGCTCCTCTGATGCTGCTTGGCCTGCTGTGTTCATTCAGCTCTACACTTTGTTATCTCTCTTCTGTTACATATTTCTTCAGAGTAAGTTGGGAGGTGGTGGCATAATAGTATTGTTGCTAGGCTAGTAATTCTGGAATTTAATAAATAATCACAAGTCTTATGATGAATGAGATACCGTAAGTTTTCATGACAATTAACAATCGGGTCCACTAACATCCTTTAGGGAAGGAAATCTGCTGTCCTTACCTGGTCTGGCCTGCATGTGACTCCAGAGCCACAGCAATGTGATGGACTCTAAACTGCCCTCTGAAATAGACTAACAAGGAACTCAGTTCAACGGCAAGCAGGGACAGCCAAAACTTGCTGGCCCAGCATTGGCATTCTATGAATGATCAACAAAATTTACAAAAAAAGCTGGATGTCTCCCATCAGTCCTGCCTGCCTGGGCATCACATAGACTAACATGACTGAGAAAGAAGTGCCAAGAGGATCGATCATATGAATACATTGGAAACAGTTCCGAGAAGGTTTACCAGACTTACAGCTGGAATAGTAAGTTATCTTATGAGGAACAGGTTGACAGGTTTTCTTGTATCCACTGATGTTTAAAGAAGAGTAGGAGGTGACTTTATTGAAACCTGAGGGTCTCAACAGAGTAAACATGAAGAGGATGTTTCTTCTTATAGGAGAATATAGAACTAGGGGTCACCTTTTAAAAATAAGGAGTCACCCAGTTAAGATGGATGAGGAGGAATATTTTCTTACACAGTGTTGGAAGTCTTGGGAACTTTCCTTGAAAGGTGGTGGGAGCAGTGAAAGGTGGTGGGAGCAGAGTCTTTGAAGATTTTTAAGGCAGAATGATAGATTTTCAATCGGCAAAGAGGTGAAAGGTGCGAAGTATTCAGATCAGCCTTGAACTTATTGACTGGTGGAGCAGGCTCAAGGGGCTGAGTGGCCTCCTCCTGTGCCTAATCTGTACGTTCATGTGGTAGATATGACATTGAAATGATAGAAACCGACAGGACACATCTCCCAGACATAGCGGTTGCCAGAATGGCAGTCAAACAGACTTCAGTAACGGAAGCTGATGGAACAGGTCAAAGGCAACTTGGCGAAGTACATCGAGAGAGCATCTCCGAAGGTGGAACACCACCTTGGTTGCAGTAAAAGTGAGAGATTGTGATAAACCAGGAGTAGTGGGAGAGGCTTGCTGCTTATTGTCACACCCGGGACCTTCAGTACAAAGTCCAAGCAAATCTTCCTTTAGAGGGATGATACTTGCCTGTATTTGACCATGTTTTGATCATTGCAGAAATGACTAATAAATCTTGCGTAGTACAGATGCATGACAGCGTGTTCTTTGCCTCCGATATACAGATCTACAGGCATCCAGAAATCCGCTGCTGCTTTGTCGAAGGGCCTTCGAAACGAGACAATGACACAATTAGCGACTGTGCTTATTGCATAAAGCAAAGAGCTGTCAAACTTCTCCATGTATGCTATCCTGGGTCAAGAAAGATTGAACCTATAATTTTCTTTTATAAAACATTAATCACTTGGTAGTACAGGACTGGAGTATTGATGAAACAAAAATTATACGCTGTCAAAGCTATTCACATCAGTCATCAGGCCAGAATTGCAAATCTTAAAAGGGAACAACAATTTATATTGCATGAGAAAAGGCTGCTGATTGTTTGGAAAGCAGACCCTGACTGGTGGAGGCATTGTAAAGGAGAATGCACTAGGAACCAGTGAATTGCCAAGATTCTATTTAAATTCAATCCAGACGAGTTATCTGTGATTGGTCAGGACATTGTCACTGAAAGTGCACCAGGGAATGACTGCCCTCCAAGGTTTCGTTTAGTTGAAACATATTCTGGTTACAAAGAAAAAGGCCCCGTGTGTCCAATTGCTGTGTCCAACGTTTAGATGGGATTCTATGTTCGACATTCAGCAAACACTGGCTGACTGAATACTGTAAGTTTTGTACATGTTGAAAACAGCCAAAGGTATGTGTTATTGACTACAGCCCACTAGCTGTTGGGACATATACCTTACAGAGCAGCAATGAACCTCGACATAACATTACTCATTTGAGTGGTAGACAGGATATCCTTTTGGCTTGATGGCAGCAGCGTACATTCCCTATTCCATTCTTTCTGGAGTAATTAGGTGCCAAGCAACCAAAAAAGGACTTGCAACATATTTGGGATTATGCAATACAGATACTACTTGTATATGTGATACCAGGTTACTGCCAAATAGACAAAACAAGGTATTTTGTTACTTTGCTAACAATTTCATAGTGACAAAGCACTTTGTAAGACTTCAGGAGGCCATTGTAAACCCAGGAAATGAAGTAAGTTAGCTCAAACCCTGAAAAGCCCTTCCCTGATCCAATTCTCAAAGGTGAAGCACATCACAACCAGTTTCAGCAGACAAAGTGAATTCTCTTATTGTTATCAAAATAAATGCTAATTTCTCAAATAGGTGTCATATCATTATGCTAGCACAATAAAATCTTACAAAATGGGGGAATCACAGTGGCAAAGTATAATGTAGCTGAATGAGTAATTGAGAGGACCTAATGTTCTGGGTAAGTGGGTTCAAATCGCACATGGCAGATGTTGGAATTTAAATTCAGTCAACAAAAATCTGGAATTGAAAGCTAGTCAGTGATAGTGACCATGAGACTACTATCAACTGTTGGAAAAACCCATCTGTTTCACTAATGTCCTTTGAGGAAGGGAATCTGACATCCTTACTCAGACTGACCTACATGCTGACTCTAGACCCACAACAATGTAGTTGATTCTTGACTGCCCTCTGAAATGGGCCTAGCAAAACACATTCAGTTCAAAGGTAATTAGGGATAGGGAACAAAGGTGACAAGGGAGCAAAACAAAAAAAGCCAAATACAAGAGTTAAGGAAACACTCTGGACCTCCCCCAGCCTCTCAAACTCCAAGTGGGGGTGGGCTGGGACAGAATGGTATAACATCAAAATTAGAGGTTAGGCCTTTTGAGGATGACATCAGACAGGACATCTTCACAAAGTCGCTGAAACCTGGAATTCCCTCCTCTTTTAATAAAAAAACAAAGCTGAGGCTGGGGACCAATTTAAAACTCGAATAGAGCAATGTATTTTTTTGTTAGGTATGGATATCACCAGAGATGGAACAACTGTTTTCAGAAGAAGTTAAGACAGAGGCTGATCGAGATTAATGGAATGGCAAACTAGACTGGAGGGCCTGAATGGTCTACTCCTGTTTCTGCTTGTCCCCAGGCAAAGCTGAAGTCTTACTTATTTAGGGATTTTTTTGCTGTTAAGAAAGAAAGTCATTTCAAACTCACTTTTCATTATTATGAGAGTCAATGTATCTGTAGTAATACCAAGCTGAATCCACAAACGTATCCATGGTGTCAGTCTCCCTCTGGGCAGGACCTTTACATCTGAATGGGGACAGCAAGTCACACATTTGTTGGCTTCCAATGCACAACAGTTAGTGATTCAACCACAACACAAACTGGAACACTGCTGACTGAATTAAACATAACATAATAAGGCATATTGCTCCAAGCACCATTAGCAGTTAGCAACATTGTCCAACTGAAGAGATTGGGGCCAAAGCTAAATACTCCGAGTGCTGGAAGTCAGAAATAAAAGACCCAGAAGATACTCAAAAAGTCAGGCAGCATCTGTGGAAAGAGAAACAGAGCTAACAACCTTTTATCCGTCTCCGGAGAAACGGTCAAGTGTCAACCTGCAATGTATACGAGGTAGTGACTAATAGACCAACAGAGAATTCAGGAGAAACGTCTTCAATCGGAGAGTGCTTAAAGTGTAGAAATCGCTAGTGCAGGGCGAGTTGAAACTAGTAACATTGATGCATTTGAGGGAAAACCAGATAAAATGAGGGAACTGAATTGATAGGATTAGGTAAAGAAGGGTAGGAGACTTGCTGAGATAAGTCAGCGATTCTGTGCTCTACTCTGCAACGTTAATAATCAAGAAGCTGAGTGCTCACTTTTCCAGTGTAAACTGATCTGCATTTGCAGTTTGATATCGATAAGGAAGTGAATTGGCTGTGCTCCGGTAACATCACTCAGATAGTGTCAGACTGGGAGCCACGGTTCGTTTAAAAGAAGTCAGTGCCTGTTATAGGAATATCGGGAGTTTATTTTCAAACTCTGGTCTTAGCACATACAGGCTGACAGAAATCACACCAAGTAATTGCCTGAAAGGAGTACAGAGTGCAAGGCGCCTGAAGACATCCTCGGCACTGAAATGTTGCCCATAATTAGCTTTTACACAATGGAACTTTCTCCATGAAGCAAATTTACTGAAAGAATCTAGTACTGCATACAAGCTGCACAGGATTATATACATGGAACGTTGTGAAAAAATATATTATCGTACCTTGCTATCAGACACCTCCTCCTCTTCATTGGTGAATCTGTCTACTTTTGTTTAGAATTATATACTTTTCTTGCCTCAGAGGCCTTTCAGCCCTTTATGACTATGCTGATTTTCTGCAGCCCCATTCCTCTGTAAGTTGGCAAATATCTTTTTTCATCTGTAAATCCTTTTACTAGTGGTCACTGTTTTCCCATTGTACTTGCATCCTCTGCACTAACAATCTACTAAATCAGAAAAATAAAGTCCCTGCTGTTTCTTTTCCTTTAGACATTGATCTTAAAATTATACCCTCTAGTTACTGACTCAACCACCAGTGGAAATAGTTACCCTTAGATTTACCTCATCCAAGCCAGTCACCATCGGACATTTTGAGCAGGAACTTAACAACTACACTCTCACACACTTTCTTAAAGTAAATATATTAAGATGAGCCATCCAGAGGCCGACTGGAGAATTTTGGTACATCGCTGTCTATTTTTGCACCAGTGATGCCTTTCGTCTTTTAGTCAGGAGGCTGGAAGAGGATGGTGGAAACTACAATGAGCTTTGCAGTAACAGGCCCCAAAAGGCAGTGTGGCCGTGGAGATTATGATGCTCCTCCTCTGTCTGTTGCGAACTAATTGTTTTTATTTCTGTGCGTCCATCTTAGTGATACACCAAGGGTGGCATGAAGTAGATTATTTAATTTCACCATGACCATGTGAGCTCCTGGGTGCAATAAAACTCAAAGATCACAGAATCCCTACAGTGTGGAAACAGGCTATTTGGCCCAACAGGTCCACGCCGCCCCTCCGAAGGGCATCCCACCCAGACTCATTCCCCTACCCTTACATTTCCCCTGTCTAACCCACCTAACCTAAACATCCCTGAGCACTATGGGGCAATGTAACACTGCCAATCCACCTACCCTGCACATCTTTGGACTGTGGGAGGAAACCACCCAGAGGAAACCCACGCAGACATGGGGAAAATGTGCAAACTGGACACAGACAGTCGCCAGAGGCTGGAATAGAACCTGGGTCCCTGACGCTGTGAGGCAGCAGTGCTAACCACTGAGGCCACAGTTTTTTCCAATGGAAATACAGTGGATCACTTTGCTCCATTGGTACAGCAAAGTCACTGCTTGGGGGGGGGCAGTGGAAAATACCAATTAAATTGCTTTTCTTACTAATTACCTCTTTAGAACAAGAAGTTGTGGAAATTTACTGCAGATGCTGGAATCTGAACTAAAAACAAAAAATGCTGGCGATCGCAGCAGGGCAGACAGCATCCATGGAGAGAGAGCACGTTAACGTTTCAAGTCTAGATGACTTTTTGAGACTCAAAACGCTAGCTTGCTTTCTTTCCGTGGATGCTGCCTGGACCTCTGTGATCTCAAGCAATTTTTGCTTTAGAACGAGACGTCATTGTTTTAGGATTAAGGTTTGTAGATTAAAAGGAGGAATTACTTCTCTGAAAACGGTTGTGAATCTGTGGAATTTACTATCCCAAAGTGCAATGGATGCTCGCGCACGGAGTAAATTTAAGGAAGAGATAGGCAGATTTTTAATTAGCAATGGGTTGAAGGGTTACCTGGAGAAGGCAGGAAAGTGCAGGTCAAACTGAGATTAAATCAGCCAAGATTGTATTAAATGGCTGAGCAGACTCGAGGGGTTCAACTGCCTATTCCTGCTCTTAGTTCTCGTGTTCTCTTTAAAAACAATTCAATTTCTAATTCAAAGTTGAATCAAAGATTAGTTACAATATAACAACAATCCAAAACATTAATTCTGTGTGTCTGTTCACAGATTGCACATGTCCTGCTTTCATTTTCAAAAACTACTGGAGCAGTTTTGTTGTGTGACTGGGCATAACTGACTTACTGAGGACAGGCACAATTGAACCACTCGGCGGCTGTAGTTAGCGGGGAGAGCCCTTTAGCTGTAAACGACTTAATCTTGGGTAAAAGCACAGGTAGATCCTCATGAGGGACAGGAACGGGACCACAGGATTGGCAATGGACGATGGGAATAGGGGTGCCCCAGTAACGCTGCCGGGATATCAACCAGTCACGCATCTTTGGGCTTGTAAGGTAGCCACCGATTCCAAGGTCTCTCGCACGTTTCAAGATGGCCTGAGCTGCAGATTGCCTACCAAGTCCTGTGAACTGAAAAGTTAAACAGCCTGAGATTTGTTATAAATACTTCAGCTTAAATGACAACCTGCCATTAGCAAGTAAGTTCTGATCAGCTAATCTTTAACGTTTGACAGTCTTGGTATCATGATGTTAAAGTATTCCTGTTTCCTGAATGTCTAGCTCTCGTTACAGGATAGCAATGATCTATTAGAAGACCTCATTAGTCATTGTAATGTACAGACATGTTTCTTAAAAGAAAGTAAATTGCCTGTGCAAACTAAATTCCTCCCTTTTCGCTTTCTAAACTCTACAGAATCGACCAAATGGGTTTTAATTTTGCCGTAGCCACCATGGTGTCACTGTCAGCAATTGCTGCCATAATTTCTGAAACTGAAAGCAATTTTAAGAATCTGTACATGTACAGTTAAATGTGGAAATGCAGACATTGCTAACTATTTTTTCAGCAGAGGGTTTGCTGTTGAGACTCCCCTCAGAATGCAAACATTGGAAAAACGTTGCACAGATGAAAGCTTTCACTAGCACACTCTTCAATTGTAAAAGCCCTTAAAAAAAGTAATACTTGTTGAATGAGATATACCAGAATTTCTTCTTGCAAACACAAAGCTCATTAATTACTAATGAACAGCCTCATTGGTCCTGAAAGAATAGTTTTGTTTGATTTGATTTATTTTTGTCACATGTACAGAGGTACAGTGAAAAGTGTTGTCTTACATGCTTTACAGGCAGATCATACAAGTGCATTTGTGTTTGTTAAATAAGAAATTCCACAGTTTTGGAAAAAAATGTTTACAATACTCTACCCAAATCCCACATGCATTACGCAAGCATTTATTTCATTACGTAAAATTGAAGGGATTTGGTATTTTTAAATTCCTAGCTTGCTGTCTGTGAGCATATCCCAATTTGGTTGCCTGCTGCCCCTCTGTGTTGCCATCACTAGCTTCTGAAAATCACCTTAATTCAGCTCCAGCTTTAAATTGTTCGTGGGCAACCAGAAATCTACATCAGAGAGATCGTAGGACCTACATCTGCAGATTTCTTTGGAGGCGAGTGGCAAGCACCAATGATTTCAACATTTGGGCACGACTTCAGCCTCTGCTCTGTCCCTGTCTCTAATGTGCTCAATAAGACACAAACATAAAATGGATGTAAGCCCCAGCCCAGCCTAAGGAGCTAAATTCCATACAGTGGATGGTATAGGTCAATCCAGCAGAGATACAAGTATGTTAAAATTGATAGATTATGGATGAGTTACTTTATAAAGCTAGATTAACTAATAATTCTAAAGAGGTCAACTTTTCACTTTCATTTTCAGGTAGATTACTAATCAGCATGCAAGAGTGGGTGTGCAGTAGAGTTTGTCTGTGAGCTCCTTGCAAAAAGGACAGCAAACAGAAGTTAACATTTTGGAACTGCCCAAACCACAGCCCTCCCTCTCAGCAGCCCCATCACTGACCTCATCACAATTTTGTAAATGCTCGGTGCCATCGGGCAGGGTTTCAAATACCTCTCGCCATTCTAAACCCAGCCTTTTTGCAACTGCTGCATCTTCCTGACTAAGGCTGGGAATACCTTTGTTGAAACAGAAACAAAAACACAAAGTAGTGGGAGACGAATTAATGGGGAGTGTTAAGCAACCTTCGTGTTGGCTGAAGATCATTTTGCTCAATTATTAACAGCATGTTTCTTTCATCCTTCCTTTGACGTAGGCAGTACCATTGTCTTTTCACTCCAGTCTTCCACAGTGTAAACAAGGACCATGTAGCAATTCAGGTTTCACTCTTACAAATGCTGATCTCAGCCAGCTCACAGGGAGTGATGTAGGACAACCATCTCCCTCTACTAGCGAAGAACCTCATTACTGCTTCCACCTTTGTGTACACTAAGAACTGCATCTTCCGGCAAATCTGTGCACATCATTGCTGCAAACACACACAAGGCATCTGCTTCCTTCATAGGTTTTCAAAGGGGATCAAGACCAGCTTCCAGTTCTTCAAAAGGTCATCCAACTTTTGTTTATCATTAAGTTCCCTGTTTTCCTGCATGCCTCAACTTGGTAGCAAACTACTTCTGTTAATGTACATCAAATATATCTTTCCAAACTCAACAATGGCATAAAACTTAAATAATGGGCTTAGCCAGTAGAGGTTAGCACGGGAGCTCTTTAGAAGTGTGTCACCTGAACACACTTACAGTCTCTAAAACAGTAAAACCATCCAAGGTAATTGAGAGGAGTATTTTTATTCTTATCGAGTTCTCTGCCCAAAAACAAGTCCAAATCATACACCCCCGATTTCCACAAGGATAAGCCACAAAGCCCAAGTTCTGAACCTGCCCTGGTAGGGTCAGGGGTCAAAACTCATGTTGATGGCACCAACGTAACCCACACTGGCAATCCAGCCAACTGGTGCCTGCAAAGAAGCTGAGTTGCAAATGGCAACGTGCATTTGTTACATGTATATCGTAGCCTAGAGCTATGACGGTAGATGCTGTAATGCCTGTCTATCAGATATCTAACACAGGAATCCCTCCCGCTCTTACTGCCTGCCGTTGACACCTGTTAGGCTGATCACAGGTTGGCACTAAACAGGCTTGGCCCACACCTTACTTGGCCATTAAATCCTGGAGTGGAACTCAAACCTGGACGTTCTGGCCCAGAGTCAGGATGCTACACACTGCACTACAAGACCTCCTCCACAGAAGTATAATCAAACAAAATTAATCATTCAGCCAAGTAAGGGGACATTACAATGGGAGCGCGAAAGGTTTGGTCAATAAAGCAAGGTTGAAGGTACATCTCAAAAATCAGGAGAGAGGAATCAGTACATTTAGGGTTCCAAAATTCCAAATTTCTAAATTGCCCTCAACCAACCTTATCAGTTCATCCCATTAACAGCTGTTTCCTCACAGACCTTAGTGCCTTGCAGTTATCCTGCTCTCTCTTTGCTCCTCCCCCAAAGGATAAAGTGGGTAGCATATAAATAAACACAGAGAGTGATTTTCTATTTAAAAGAAAAGTAAAGACACATGCTTTATTGTTGTCCAAATAATGAATCAACAACAATGATGGCTTATAGGAGGAAGGAAAGTAAATTGTAAAATTGGTACATTTCACCGCAGACATTTACAGCTATATGAAGGTCTAATTTCACAATAGTGTAAACCAATCTCTACTTACCACCTCCCATCAAACAACATAACTAAAAATGAGGAATGGCTGCCTTACCTATGACTGTATCCAAATAACCTTCAAACTCTGTCTTGGCTGAAATTACAACAGGAATCTCCTGACCATTTAAAAGGTTGACCCCAGTCATTGGTGTCTGGCAGTCTGGAAAGCAAACAGTAACAGACAATGATTAGACTCTTAATGGATCATTTTGTTTTCAACAATTGGACAGGTACTTTATCAAGAGTAATAGCAGTTCCTGCTGGTCAGCAAGGTAAGTTCTTTTTATGAACTGTGCCATAAAGGCTGAGGCAACTCAATTTCAACAATGTTAAGTATAATTTTACCACATGTAGGAAAAGGTCAGACTAAAAAGATTCTACACACCTTTATACAACAAATTACTTTCCAAAACCCACAATGGTATCAATGTAGCAGCAGAAAATATTTAAAAAGCATGAGATATGATAGAGAGGAGTGGGATGGGGGAGCGAGAGGACAAATGGTGTAGAAGTGAGAATAGAAAGGAAAGAATCAGCAAGAATGAAAAAGGTAGATGAAAGAGAATGTGCAGAGCAGATTCTCAACTCCCAGATCAGAGTACATAATTCAGGTAGGCACAGAGTGCAAAGGTTGGAAGTGCCTCATTTCTGTTGCTATAGAATCAGACTGGTACCAGAGACCCCACATTATTTTAAACCAAACAAACTGTACAACGTGACAACAAGGTGCAGGGCTGGATGAACACAGCAGGCCAAGCAGCATCATAGGAGCAGAGAGGCTGACGTTTCGGGCCTAGACCCTTCATCAGAAAAGGGGGAGGGGAAGGGGGTTTTGAAATAAATAGGGAGAGAGTGGGAGGCGGATAGAAGAGGGATAGAGGAGAGGATAGGTGGAGAGGAAACAAACAGGTCGAAGAGGCGGGGATGGAGCCAGTAAAGGTGAGTGTAGGTAGGGAGTTAGGAAGGGGATAGGTCAGTCCAGGGAGGACGGACAGGTCAAGGGGGCGGGATGAGGTTGGTCGGTAGGAGATGGAGGTGCGGCTTGAGGTGGGAGGAGGGGATAGGTGGGAGGAAGAACAGGTTAGGGAGGCAGGGACGAGCTGGACTGGTTTTGGGATGCGGTAGGGGGAGGGGAGATTTTGAAACTTGTGAAATCCACATTGATACCATTGGGCTGCAGGGTTCCCAAGCGGAATATGAGTTGCTGTTCCTGCAACCTTCGGGTGGCATCGTTGTGGCACTGCAGGAGGCCCAGGATGGACATGTCGTCTGAGGAATGGGAGGGGGAGTTGAAATGGTTCGCGACTGGGAGGTGCAGTTGTTTATTGCGAACCGAGCGTAGGTGTTCTGCAAAGCGGTCCCCGAGTCTCCGCTTGGTTTCCCCGATGTAGAGGAAGCCACACCGGGTACAGCGGATGCAGTATACCACATTGGCAGATGTGCAGGTGAACATCTGCTTGATGTGGAAAGTCTTCTTGGGGCCTGGGATGGGGGTGAGGGAGGAGGTATGGGGGCAGGTGTAGCACTTCCTGCGGTTGCAGGGAAAAGTGCCGGGTGTGGTGGAGCTGGAGGGGAGTGTGGAGCGGACAAGGGAGTCACGGAGAGAGTTGTCCCTCCGGAAAGCAGATAAGGGTGGGGAGGGAAAGATGTCTTTGGTGGTGGGGTCGGATTGCAGATGGCGGAAGTGTCGGAGGATGATGCGTTGGATCCGGAGGTTGGTGGGGTGGTACGTGAGGACGAGGGGGATTCTTTTTTGGTTCTTATTGCGTGGACGGGGTGTGAGGGATGAGGTGCGGGAGATGTGGGAGACACGGTTGAGGGCGTTCTCGACCACCGAGGAGGGGAAGTTACGGTCCTTGAAAAACGAGGACAACTGAGATGTACGGGAGTGGAATGCCTCATCCTGGGAGCAGATGCGGCGGAGGCGAAGGAATTGGGAATAGGGGATAGCATTTTTGCAAGAAGGTGGGTGGGAGGAGGAGTATTCTAGGTAGCTGTGGGAGTCGGTGGGCTTGAAATGAATATCGGTTTCTAGGTGATCAACTGTACAACGTGATCAGTAAGCCTGCCTTTGGCCAAACAGCCTCAAAACAATTTATGAGCCTTTCACTTCATTGTGGAACATTGCTGTCTGAGAAATGGCTCTCCCATTCATCTACGCAACAATGCAATTCCAAACAATTCAGCACAAGAAGGGACTGGATTACCCTTGAGAATGTGCACTGCTCAGGATCACATTTAAACCGCTGTTACTCAAGGTGGTGATACTGTGAATTTAACATTACTCAGAGCCACTGGCATTCTATTAATACTTAATGGGTTCCTATCTATATAGAATTGTTATGGTGCAGGAGGTTGTTCAGTTCATCATGTCTGTATCAGCCCTGTAAATGATTTAGTGACATTCTCTTGCCTTTTCCACACAACCTAGAAACAATATTCCAGTTAAATAATTACCCAATTGAACCTGCCTCCACCATACTTCAAATACTCAAAGTATTTTTCACACATCGCACTTCTTTTGCCAAAGTGCCTTACATCTGTGCCCTCTCGTTTTTGATCCTGTTGCGAGAGGGAACAGTTTCTCCCTATCTATTCTGTCCAGTCCTCTCGGGATTATGAAGACTTCTATCAAACGTCCTCTTTGCCTTCCTTTCTCCAAAGAAGTTAGTCCCAACCTCTCCAATTAATCTTCATAACTGAAGTTTCTCATCCTTGGAAAAATTCTTGTAAAGCCCTTCTGCACTTTTGGTCAATACATTCAGATCTTTCTTACTAGTGTGGCGCCCAGGACTGTACACAATACTCCAGCTGAGCCTAAATAATGTCTTATAACTTGTAAGCTCAGCATAACTTCCTTGCTTCTACTCTCTTTTCCCCTTTCATTAAAGCCTAAGATACTGTGTGCCTTACCGACTGCTCACTGTACCTCTCCTACTACCTTTAATGACAACTGCACACACACCCAGGTCTATCTGTCCTGCATACCCTTTCAGGTAGCATCCTTTATTTTGTACTGCATCAAGCCATGTTCTTTCTATCAAAATGATCACCTCACGCTTCTCCACATTGAACTTCATCTCCCATCTATCTGCCCGCTGCATCAACTTGTCAATGTCCTTTTGAAGTCTACAATGCCATCCTCAGTTTAAAATGTTTTCAAGTTTTGTATCATCCACCATCTTGGAATCTGCCTCCTGCACACGAAAACTCAATATACATCAGGAAAAGCAAGGGTCTCAGAATTAATTCCTTGGGAATGCCATTGCAATCTTCCCTCCTGCCTGAAAAATATCTATTAACCACTACTGTTTCCTAGACCTTAGCCAATTTTGTATCCACATTACTACTGTCCCATTTATCCTATGATCTATAACATTTTTCACAAGTCTGTTGTATGGTACTATATTGAATGCCTTCTGGAATTCCAAATAGACCATATCAACAGCATTACTATCACCAAATCTGTTACATCTTCAAAAACCATAGACAGTTAGTTAAACAGGATTTTACTTTAATAAGTCCATGATAGCTCCTCCTCATTAACTCACATTTTTTCTTCTAACTATTAATTCTATCCTCTACATACTCTTTCTCATTTTAAAAGTTTCCCTACCACTGAAGTTAAACTGACTGATCTGGAATTACTGGGCTTATCATAACAATCTTTGTTCACAAAAACAGGGCATTACGTTTGCAATTCTCCAGTCCTCTGACATCACTGCTGGGTCTAGGGAAGATTGAAAGATTATTGGCAGTGTTTCTGCAATTTCCACTCTCATTGCCTTCAGTATCCTTGGGTGAACTCATCTGGCCTCGGTGTCTTATTAACTTTAATTACTGACAATCTATCCCATCTCATCATTAGAAGGAATTAACAATGATGGAGTTTCCTCCTCTGTCACCATCTGCAAAATATTGATTTAATACCTCAGCCATGTCCCCCAAATGTAAACACATTTTTTTTTAGTTCCTAATTGGTCTCATTCGTCCTTTAATGACCTTTTTAATGTTTATGTGCCCCTAGGAAACTTCGGAATGTGTTTTTCTATTCATTTGTGGGATGTGGGCGTCGCTGGCTGGCCAGCATTTCTTGCCCATCCCTAGTTGCCCTTGAGAAGGTGGTGGTGAGCTGCCTTCTTGAACTGCAGCATTCCTCCTGCTGTAGGTTGAGCCAAATGCCAATAGGGAGGGAATTCCAGGATTTTGACCCAGCGGCATTCCCTTCATGTTAGCTGCCAGCCTTTTCTTATAAACACTCTTTGCTCCTCTTATTTGCTCGGTCACCCACCTTCTGAATTCAGCTTGGTTCTCATTCATCTTTACTACCTGTCATAAGAAACTTTTTCTTCATCTTAATCTCCATTTCCTTTTTCATCCAGAGAGCTCTGAGCCTGTTTCTCTACTGTTCCTTTTTGAAGGAATACATCTGAACTGTACCTGAACACTCTGAAGGTATCCCATGGCTCAGAAACAGTTTTCTCCCCCACATACCCTCTATATGGTCCAGCTCCGTTTTTGCCCCAGTAAGTTGGTTATTTCCCAGTTCCATATATTTACACCTTTGTCCTTTTCCACTGTCTTCCAAAACCTTCATATAATGATCACTGTCCCTTAAACGTTCCTCCACCAACACTTGCTCCACTCTGTCTACTTCATTCCCAAGAACCAGGTCTCAACACGTGTGCACAGAGGGATTTGAATGCGCAAACATGAATTTATAATTGAGACATCAGTTGCTCTAATTACCTCTCCTTAACCCTTCTCTCCTGAAAATGTCAAACGTTCTACCCCAGCAGCAACTCTCCAATATATCGAGCTAGTTATACATCAGCAGGGATGACATCAAGTGTCTGGATGGTGGACTGGTCCTGTTCACAAGTGTAAACATATGGTTGGTGGACAACAATTAAAGGAGAAACATAGTACAGGACCCAAACTCTGACAGTCGACAAGCTAAAATTGCCTAAAAATCCAGATTTTTTTTAATCCCAAAGAACACGGTGAATGGAGGAAAAACAAATCAATGCAAACTCTGAAATATTATACGTGGCTAAATGGGTGCTTACCATGAAATCAGTGTCATCAGTGACCAGTATTTCTGGTGCCCACACATATTAAACATGAGAATTATTACAAGGAATGAGCCTCACCAAGATATAGCTCCTGACTTAATGCAAATATCCATTGTGGATCTCCAAAATAAAAATGGATCAACTTCATGCCAGTTTAGGAGCTTCAAAGTAAAATGCTCAACACTATCAATTCCTTGCTCTCATTGGATCTGGCTAGCATTCCAATACACAGGAAAATCTGAAATCCAGAAGGACTGGGAGCAGGGGGTGCCAGATTGTGGACACTGGACTTGTACTGATCAATGGTTCTCAGTCGTAGCCCAGGAACACAGACCAATTAGAGCCTCTGGCAAGATTGGTAACCCTCAGCGAGCCTTAAGATGGAAAGTAGGCTTCATTCAGTCTGCACGAAATGACAATGCACACCACTAAGCATATTTAACCGCTGCAATGTCCTTTTTATGGAATGGTCTCAGTTGCATTTCTGAAAAAAACACCAAGATTTGGATTATCAGCAGCAGATAACCTTTACTTCATTCCTGCTTGTAACACATCAAGTGCAGGCACAGCCAGAGCTAGTGACTCTTGGACAAAAATGTGCAGAAATACAACAATTGTGATTATTTTGCTGACAATTTCCAGTTGACATTGTAACAATCACAGCCTCTGTGATTGACTTAATAAGTTTTTCTTTTCTTTTAAGCAAAACCACTGGGTTTCCCAGGGAAAGGAGGATGAAAGCAATCAAATTAATCCATCAAAATCTCAGTTAAAGAAAAATCCTGCAAATCAGACCAAAATTATAAACCAGGCAGAGGATTGTACTGACAGAGAGTAAATGGACATGAGATTTATCTAGGAATTTTTCTTGCTTGTGTGGGTGCCAAAGTGCTTTGCAAGATCAGGATAGCTCTACCGAGAATATTTATGGAGAAGTTACTCTTTCTACCCAGCAAATGTTTGGCAAGAAATGTCTGTGCAAGCCATTAACATTTCACAGAAACAGAGTGTGCGCTCAAAATAACACAAACGCAACAGGATGACCTATAAAAGACAACAGAGTTAAAGGGGGACAGTCTGAAAGCAGGAAAAATTAATCACTGTTTTACATTCTTTTCTGGTCAGTCTGAATAATGTTGCGTGAATAAAGACAAAATATTGCGGATGCTGGAAATCTGAAATAAACAAGTTTGTCAGTTCTGAAGAGGTCGTACTGGACTCAAAACGTTAACTCGAGTTCTCTCTTCACAGATGCTGCCAGACTTGCCGAGTTTCTCCAGAATTTTCTGGCTTTGTTTTTAAATAATGCTGCTGCTTCCCTCAGAAAAAGAACAAATCTCAGGTAGTTACTGAAGAGAAGAGATTACTATCTGCATTGTCTCTTCTGCTGATAGAGGAAGGATACTCTCTACTTGCAGTCACTTCCTGATAGAGACAAGGTCATGTGACAACAATTTCTTCTGGCTCTGTACTAAGAAGAGAGTATTTTTAGAAAATTAAATCCCATTGCAGGAAAATTGCTGCAATTGGAATTTCCTGTTCAAATATCACCAGTTGCAAAACATAGCCCTGTTCTCAAAACTCCCCAATGGATTACAAAAGTTCTGCTCGCAAAAAAGACCCTGAACTACCTGTTGCCTGCCACTTTACTGCACCACCCTGCTCCCTGGCCAACACCTCTGTATCTGGCTTGCTGCAGTGTTCCAGCAAAGCCCAACGCAAGCTGGAGGAACACCACCTCATTTTCCGCTTGGGGACCCTACATCCCTCCGGACTCAATATTGAGTTCAATAATTTTAAGGCCTAAACTCTCCCATGTCCCAGCCCCCAACCCCACACACCAGGCCTTGTTACCACATAGCCTGCCACTACACACCCCCTGTTGTGAGTCACTAACAGTCCCCATTAATAACTACTCACCCTCCTAGCCTGATCGTTAGCAACTCCTTTGTCTGTCCAATTGTCTCACTCTCTTTTTGGGCTCTACCCTATCGTTTACTCCCTACCCCACCCACCTCCCTATTTGCTGCATATAAACTGACGTTTTCCCAGCCACCATCA